GTCCATCCGTCGGCTTGGTTTTCTACTAGACAAGTGTGGATCATGTTCTCAATATTCTGCTTTGATCTTTAAACTGATCCTTTCAATTGGTTAAGTCATAATTTTTTGTTTAATTTAGTTCGGGCCACAAAGATTTCAAATTAGTTGTAAAGTTATCTTGTTACACCCTTACTGATTTAAATTTTTCTGCGGGTTGGGATTAAAAGACAATTAAATCTACCTGACATCTGATTTTCATTTCAGAGTATAGCATCGTCTTCGAGACTTATCCCCTCTTACTTTTTCTGATGACACACTTCACATATACATAAAAAAAGTTCAATTATTTCTCATGGTACATTGGCGTATTTTACAGAAGATTTTTTTATCTTTTTGATAATTACATAATATTTAATGCCTTTACTTCATTTAAAAAAAAGTATCGTTTCATACCGTACATTTTAATCAGACATAACCAAAGTTCTGTACAGTAGCGAGGTTTTTTTTCGACCAAGCTTTTGCAATCAAAAGGACCACTATTATTTCATCGCACAACGCTTCACAAAAAACATAATGATTAGCTTGATTTGCTTTAATTAGAAAGTTTTATTTATTTGCATCTATAATTTCTATACTTTGACTCATTTTAAAACGAACGCGTTTACAGAATGAGACAAATTTAGACGTTAAGAATCAAAACAAAATTAACTTACAAAATTAAACAATAGAATATGCACATAGGTCTACAATTATATGCTTGTATGGCTAGTTATTAATATTATTATATGGCTTTGTTATTGATATACTTAAAAAGATGCTTGATGTTGGTTAAGCATTTTCACTTCCACTTAAAAATTATTAGTCATTTTAGGTTTCGATGAAAAACTTTACGATTATCCTGAATTTTAGTTGGTTTTCCGGCATCTCGTAAAATCTAATGCATTTCGAAATTTGCCACGGCAATTTCGGCTTTTACCATTAGTCCGTAATAGAATTTAATCCATCATGAGAGAATGGAGAGTTCATAAATAAATAGGAGGTCGATGGCAGATACACGGTTATATTCTATTTTTGGGAAATGAAATCATGTAAATCCAAAGTGTTACTTACACCTACGCTTACAAAATTAGATACAAAATGTGTTTGCCCGACGAACGAGCCTCGGTGTTGGCATAAAGTCTTAGCTAGCTTAGATCGGCTCGTTTAGTGCTCGTAACTCACGTTGCAACTAGTTCGCTAAATAATACATGAAAAGAGTCTCAAAGCAAAGATTTTTGACTTTAATACCACGCATACTCTGCACTGTGTGTTAGCGTTTTTTTTTCTATCGATTGTGAAGCCATTTTTGATTTAAAAAATCTGAAAAAATTTATATCGGTACATTTTAACAATGCCAACAACCTTGATTTTTTCCAAATTTTTTGGATTCTTCATGACTTCGGAAAAAGATATTGAAATTTAAACCGCTGCGTTCGCATCACACTCGCATACGCTCGTGCGCTAACCTCACTTCGCGTTACCAGAAAGTACGACTTATGCATCAGAAAAGAGGGCATAAATGTGAACTTAGCACAGTGCTATAAAATGTTGTACGATTCTCGTGACATAGGGGACACTTTTCGGCCCAGCTATTAGGAGCCTCGCTGCGCTCGGGCCCTAAACTACGCCGTGCCAAAAAGTGTTACTTATGACACTTGTATCGTAAATTACTATATATGATATTTTTTTTTATTATTATTTGAAACTCTTTATTGATGATAAAACTCTGTGTTATCACACGAAAATGTAATTACACTGCAAATAATTTGGTCTTTTATGTATTAACAACTAAGAAATTAAACTTTGCAAATGCAACTTCAAAAAGTTATAATATTCCATTTACATTTTTTAAAACTATGAATAATACTTTCGGCAATTAGACAACATGATGCACTTCACCCTCATTGTGCTTCCAGAAGTAAATTGATAGCTAATTTACAATTTTGATTTTTTCTCTAAGTTTTGAGCCACTATTATTAATAACTTTTTAACTATACGCAATAGTTATTGACATGATGAAAAAAGTATGAAACTACAAAATTAACGAATGGATATCACAAATATTTTATATATTATGAGCACTATTCACATCTAGCTATAAATTATGTGTTATTAAGTTTTCATATCATTGTTTAAGCGAGTTTTGAAAAATCTTGAAAATTCAATTGTTTTATTGAAAAATAGAGAAAAAATAGATGAGTTCGACTGATATAGAATTATTTTATATGCATATACTCTGCTGCCCTATCACTTTTGTCATACTAAAGCGAAATATGAGTAAACTTTAAAATGTCATAGTTCAGTCAAAAAAGGTCGGATCGTAATTTTAAAGCATGATTCTAAAGGTTTTTGCAGTACTTCAAGGTTATATAATTTTTTTTTAGATTATCCATTCATTTATCAATTTTTATTGACAATTCTCTTGTCGAAAATTCGCGCAATTCCTGCGAAAATTCTGCAGAAATCCAGCAGGAAAGCGCGAAATTCCTGCAGGAATTTCGCGACTTTTTTTACAACGGTCGACGAATAAAAAACCCGTGTTTTGTATTTCCGCTTTTTCTACCATTTTAGCTATTACCAGTTTAGTTGGAGGTCTTCTAGAATTATTCTGAGCCGACAAATCTGGAGGTTTTTGCGATTTTATAGACTTGTATTACTTGCAAAGACTTTTCGAATGGTTTTTAAAATCATGATACGATATTTTTTGACTAAACTACAGCACTTTAAAGTTTACTCACTTTTCGATCAGGAATAGCAAAAATGATTGGATGGCAGTGAAAATTGCTCCACTACAGTATTGATTATTTTTACTTATAATGAACTGGACAGATAATCAACATTTATTAATTATCAGTACACCAAGCATATTCAACTTTTTTTTATTTAATATTAAAATAAAATTATAAAATAGTTAGCAATATGCGATTGGATATAGACTAAAAATATTTGGGGATTACAATCCAAGCTAATTTTTTTTTGTTCATTGAAACCTAAGTTTTTCTGATGATATGTTTACATAAAACAAATTACGCGGGCAATCCCTTGAGCTTGTTTAACTATGCAACATTCTTAAGGAATAAAATACTTCGATTCTATCAACTATTCATTGAAAGTATGTAAACCGACTTTTATGGGTTAGATAATGAGAATAATTTGGTCGATTGTGATACTTTACTTAAGCCATAACATTTTCGTAAAATCCTAAGACCAGAAGTAATTGTAAGGTTGAGAAAAAGCAAAAATGCTATTAAGTTCGTGTAAATTCCTATTATAACCAAATTGTAAACAATATTTTACTCAATGAATAAAAAAATTTCACGAGACAATAATTTTTAGAATTAGTTAAGAATCCACCTTAATTTTTTAAAATTTCTTAGGTAAGGTTGAGACTGGATATTTTTCGCTTACAATGTACTTGTTAAGATGTAGAAGTTCTATAGCTTTCCCAGCGGAAAATATGTTTTACATAAAAAATACAATAATAATAACGTGAACTGTATAAATAAAAAGTATAAATGTTGAAAATGCAAAATCGCTAAAGATTTCAAAAACATGATTGATTTTTCAATAATTTTTGTTTACTTTTTATAGTAGTTTATTACAATTCATTATAGTTTATCAGGAAGATGTAACTGCTATGAATTATAATTAATCCAAGTATTATTTATAATATTATTTTGTATTCATAAAAATTGTTCTTAACTCACATGATAGAGTCATTCGATTTTTAACAAGATATACATATTTTTCGGTATAAGCGATATGTATTTTTTATTAGCTTTAATTGAGTTTAAACAGATATACCAACATTTTTTTTGAAAATGCAAAAAAATTAAGTCAAACAAGGTTTTCAAGGTACTTTTATTTAATCTATGATTATTACCTTTGCAAAAACATTATATTGATAGTCAAAAAGTCGTTGAGTCTATATCTAAAAAAAGGAAAACAGGATAGTGACATTCTTAGGACTATTAAATTTACGTGTAATTTTATTTTACACTAAAAAAGGAAATTTTTTATAAATCTAACCTTAGCATTAGAGAAATGAATAAGTACTCATTTTTTTCAAGTATTTTTAAGGCAATTCTTAACCCATTTAAATAATAAGGGAGTTCCTTGGTGCTTACGAAGAAAAACTCTTTTTTAAAACTGCAGCATGATAGTTTTTTGATGTTAGAACTCCCCCGCTTTTTAGATCTGGTCATTAGAAGTTTTTGAAAAAGTTTTGAATTGATGAAGTGATTTTTTTCGGCGCAATTTGAAAAAAAGATAATTACTTCGCTACAGGAGTTTGTCTGCATTTAAAAAAGAGATAGTCTTCGTAAGCGCCGTCGAGTTATGGTATGCACAGCCGTGTCCCGACGCGTCCGGAATTGAACGTTATCCGTCTTGTATAAAGATATATACGTTATAATACAATTTTATTTAATGGAATACTTAAATCAGAGTACTTGTAAATTCTCAAAGAGATTATGCAATGTCAATTAATCGTTTTTAAACTATTTATTCGTTGTGCTAGTCGTTTAAAACATTTGGTTAGAAAACGTATGATTATTACTCTACAAAGCAAGATTTTCATTAACGCTGCATTTGAAACAAATACTCTGAAATCAATATACAACTAGTTTTTCAAGAAAGTACATCTTCACAATTTTATAAAACATGATCTAAAATATTTTTGCTAACATCTTTCGAAATGAACATTTAATAAAATAGAAAAAATTTTCTTATAATTAAAACATTATTTAACACCCTACACTGTGTGCTGCTCTTCTATTTTTGTCTATTAATAGAACAAAAAATATTTTTTATTGCAAAAAATGTATTTAGAGTATCCGGAAGAAATGTGAAATTATTGGAGACACTTCGGTTTCTCTTTGTTATTAATGTTTTTATCGAAAATTCATTTGTTATTTTTCATTTATTGATTGTAGCATTATTTTAAAATGTGTTTTTATGAGACTAACTTTAGCTTAACTTACCTAAAGAAGTATTACTAGTGCTGTTTCTGCTTGTCGCTATCGATACATTTGATGGATTTGTTTCTAGACTTTGATGTACTGCATACATGAAGTCTTGTTCATTCGAACTAGTACTGCTACACTTTCTTTTTTCTTGATTATGATTAATGTGAAATGTGTCATTTTCCATTAGATTTACACCTAACAAACCAAGATTAGGTCTTAGATCATCCATGAGTTTCGTTTGACTACAATGAGATGCAGAAGAGGAGGTAAAATTGAGTTGTCTACTGAAAATTGCAGGAAAAATATTGAATTGCTGATGTTCGATATTAAGAGGCGTCGAAGAGTTTGTAGAATTTGTATTGGCTGATGAATTTGAGGATCCAATGGTGGCATTATGAGTCGATCCTTCACCACCGCCGACGGAGCTATCTACGCCACCGACTTGGCCGGTACTGTTTGATAAATCGTTAGCCAGGATGAAAAATTTATGGACAACTTTTAATTTCTTTATATCTTAGACACATAAAAATGAGTGAAGAGTTATCATGAAATGTTTAGTAACGAGATCTCATCGAAACAGATAGTAGCTACTATTACTCAGATTTATAACACTGGAGTACGAATTAGAGAAAAAAAAATGTTTTTCACTATTTTGATCCACATTGTATATAAGCTTGACCATAGCTTTTGAGAATAATTTTTTTTTAAATTATTGATTTTAAATTGTTTAAAACTATATAATTGTAATAACACAAATCGAATTAGAGTTAAAAAACTAATCACTGTTTTTATGATTTTTGTCCACGCACCAAACTAAGCAAGTTCTTGAGAGAGTCTGTTCATGAAATATAGTTACCCTACCAGTATGTTTGAAGCCAGGAAAAGTGTTGAATTGGCTGGAGATGCAAGGCTCGGCAGATAGCCTATTGGAGCAATGTCAAAGGCGTTACCAAGGTAACTTTCTACTAACCACCAATAGGATCTCGAGACCAGTATATCTTTTTAACATGGCGAATACCAATGGAAGTTCATTGATATTCTGTAAAATACTCTTACGAGTCAAAAAAACCTAATATATTTTTTAAATTATTTATTAATTATTGTCATTAATGAATAAAATTTAAGTTACTAGTAATGTGCAAAATTGATTTGTCATTTAAAAAAAAACAACATTTTTCTGGCACAATAATGAAAACTCGTTTTAATAATTCTAACGACAAAAAATATTAACACTTTTGATAAATAAGTATAGTTTAATTATTGAAAAATGTAAAATGATGATTTAACAATAAATTTAAAAAATGAAAAACAGCTCAATTCTTAAAAATATTGTACTATTTGCTAATTTTCTAAGGGTAATTACAAATAATAAAAAATAATTAAAAATCTTATGCTTGCAAAAAAAAGTACACAAAGAAATATTTTGAAAATAATTCGAGAAATCATAAATAATCTTTATTGGTACGTAATATAATAAAGAGGTACTAATAAAAGATTACGAAAAAATGTTTTTCAAAAATGAAAAACTTTTTTTAATTTTAGAAGCTTAGTGATTTATACGTTGTTTCGTTACAATAATTGAAAAATAATGTTATTTAACTAGTAATTTTAGCTTATGTATACCGCAAAATTACCAAAATTTCTTGATATTATAGGTATGAATCGTAATGAAATATTAACATTTATTTCTGTCAAAATATTTTGAGAAACATTTTGGTCTTTAGCATTGCAAGTCATGATGTAGAAGACAGATTATTTTAAATCAATAATCTGTGGTGTTCATATTCTTGTATACGATTCGACTAAGTAAAACGAAACATTTGAACAAAAATAGTTGTCTAAATAGAGCTTAAACTTCTATGTTTGAAATTTATATTTTTGCGCTACTATTCTGCGCTATAAATTTCATATAAGATTATAACTGTCCAGGGGGTAAACATTTACACTCTCTAAGAATCGCAGATAAACTATAAAATTGTGCTTATAAATTACTATTATAAGCTGATTATAGTTTATATCAGTAGATAGTGGTTACACATGGAATTCTTAAATAAGATTTAAATCAACATTTTTAGAGTATCATTGTTAAGAATGAATAAGATTAGACAAATTTACGACGGGAGGTATCATGTAAAATTTATTTCCATAAATTGTTTTCGGATTAAAATGTGAATATGTATTTTTTTGAATTCTGTTATACTCAAATAGAAGAAAAGTTTCAAGGAAAAAAATTGTGTAATAATTTTGACACATCTTTATTATCAAAATAGAGTAATACACCGCCCCTCAACGAAAAAAAACATTTTTTATTAAATATACAACTTCTATCAGCTGATTTCATTAATTAATTTTTTTTAATATCTTTCCATCCAATACGTTAATAAATATTTACGCGAAAATTGGTAAATTTTGTCTGGTGGCAAAATTTACCTTCAGCCCAAAGTTTGATTGATAAAGCTCAGGATAAAACGGCGTAAAAACTGTAAAAATACTGAAAACTTTTTACTATCCTTGACGCAAGGCGAGAAGTAAGAAAATATCAAAATACTGAACACTTTTTAATATCTTTAACAAAAAGCGAGAAATTGCATGTAAATTTTTAATGAAGAAGTCGACAAAGAAATTGGTGAGATTTGTTAAAATTAAAATTGAAAGTAAGAAATTTTTGACAAAAGCATGCACTTACGCTCTGTGAAATCATAAATTAATATTGTACCGAGACCGAGGCCTATTTTAAATATTTAGAAGAACTGAAGGCGTATTATATAAAGGAAAAATAGTATATTTCTCGACGGGTGCAGTTATAGTTTTTTTATCAAAACGAGGGATTATAGTACGAGCCGAAGGCGAGTGCTGTTGTAACGAGTTTTTTTTTGTTAAAAAACTATATACGCACCAGTTGATGATACTATTTTTTCCTAACAGAGCCTTTAATTAGTGGCAAATTTGCGTATTTTAGGTTAGAGCAGGAAAATCTTTTAAAAAATAGCATCGTCAACTGGTGCAGATATGGTTTTTTAACAAAACTCGTTACAGCACTCGCCTTCGGCTATAATCTCTCGTTTAGCAAAAAAACCATAGCTACACTCGTTGAGAAATATACCATACATTCAGATAATTTCATTCTAAGTAGTTAAAATATATAAATGACAATTTATTTTGCATTATTATTAGTTTATACATAGGAAAAAATATGTGAAAGTTTTATTATTCATGTAATGAAATGGTGAAGGTCTGAACATTTTTTTTCAATAACTTTCATATTTATTAAAACTTTTCTTTTTTTCTTACTATTCAGGTTAATTAATCATTCGTATATTTTTATAAAAAAGTGGGCAAAAGATCGATTAAGTATATTGGGAGATTTACGATACTCCATTGAAAAATCACTTTTTTAGAAGAAGGTACGTTGTCCGACAAAAATGACCCAAAAGAATGCCAAAAAATTGTTTTTGAATACTTTTGTCTACTTTTAAAACATTGAGCAAGACATTGTATGTAAAATACATAACAAACGAGCTGAGAAAAATGGTGAAAATAACTTCTCTATTTTTATTTCGACTGATCCCTTGAGTAAATTTCGTTGCAAAATATTGTATTGATTCGTGCGTTTATTTTGATTTACTACAACACTAACCTTTAAAGAAATAGCATTTTTATAAATTTTGGCGAGGATATTTTAATAATACTCTGAACAAGTTTCCATTATTGCAAGTTCTTTGCATTTTTATGGAAGAATAATGTCTATCGTAATGTGCCAGAATGACTATTATTATTCAAAGTAGATTCCAACAATAAAACAGAATTGGAATGTTGGTTGTACAATAGTAAACGTTTTATTCATTCATCCAGTAGAAGACACGAAAAAGGGGCCTCTTACTTCTATAACATGAGCGGCAGTAATGAAAATAAGATACGGGTAGTCATAGGCTCGCCCCTACTTCGCTGCATTTGCCTTCTCTGCTCGATAACTGAATTAACCTTTTACTAGTTTACTTTCATTGTGAGAGCCTAATGTATATCGTCGGTGCTTACGAAGACTATCTCTTTTTTCAATGCATACAAATTCCTATAGCGAAGAAATTCTCTTTTTTTCAAAATGCGGCGATAAAAATCACTAATTCGATTCGTAATTCAAACTTTTCCAAAAACTTGTAATGATTAGATCTAAACAAAAGGGGTTATTCTTAAATCAAAAAACTATTATGCTGCATTTTTACAAAGGGGATTTTCTTCGTAAGCACCGTCGATATTGCCTTTTTTTTTAAATGAAAATACTAGGGATAGCAGCAGGAACTCTTTCGATAAAATGGGAAAAACTTTTTCAATTTAGAGTCGGAAATTATCTAATTTAATCAATTAAAAATTGTATTAGATTGATACTATTTTCAGAATAAGATCCTTAAACTGCATTCAATGAAATTTTATCCTGTTTTTTTCTTAACTTCTTGTACAATTCTACAAGATGACATCGTAACCAAGCAAGTTGCTCCAAATGAACTCAAAAGAATTTCATGATTTCTTACAAGAAATCATAAGCTTTTAAAATTATCTACAGTTTTTGCAAAATAACTTTCATAAAGTATCTAAAATGTTCAAGTGGTTGCTTTTATCCAAAGAAATAAATACTCAAAATCTAGTTCAATACGGATAGAATAACCAAAAAGAACCAGATAACTTTCATGTTAAGGAAATGATTTTTTTCTTCATAAAGTACGCGCAATACCTTCGTTCGATAAACTAACAATTCCGAGAGCCTTAAAAATTGTATGCATATCGGAAAATATGCGACAAGATAATATTTTTTGAGCTTTAAAAAAAGTAATTATGAAATTTCAAAAACAACATTTATATAAATGGTTAATATAATATGAAAACTTCATTATTCCTTACAACATCCAACAAATATTTATTTATTTTGGTTGATTTGAAAGAGAATTGTGTATATAAATATACTAAATGCATGAGAATGTTATATATCTTACACATTTATAACTTTTTGTTATTATATCTTTATAACAGTGTCGGCTCTTATATGTTTTTTGAAAGGTTTTTGAAATTAATTTAGGACTTTCAAAAATGGTGATCGGTGGAAGTTTATATATGGATTCTTAGCCAACGATAAAAATGCCATTTAAAAAAAAAGTGAAAAGGAAAGAAAAAGAATTACAAACATTGTATTTTCAACTTTAAAATTGAATCGCTTCATTTATTACATCGTTAAAAAGTTCCTTCTCAATAAATACTTTATTTTGAAGATGGATCAAAATATTTTTCATGTTAAAAAGTGGCAAAATACATAATTGTTGAAATGTACTTATCATCAATAGATTGAACAAGCTTTGTAAAGTCAAAGGAGGGTCATTATTATCTGTTAATATCTTTGTCAAATTACTGAAATGTATACGTTTTTTAAAATAGGAATTTTCATTTAAAAAAATAGTTGAGCACGATAGTCCATATCTCATTAATTTTTTTAATCAATTTTTTGTAATGAAAATTACGTAATGAGAATGTGCATGTACGTTAACTATATTCAAAAACTTTTAATAAAATAAAACTAAATTTTTAATATTTTAGTTGGAATGATTTTTTAAAATTCTGACATGGATGTTTAACATCAATACTATAACATAAAACTTAGAGCCATAAAAATTAAAAAAATAAAAAAACCTACTAGATATTGTTCTTTTTAAATATAGAAACTTTCAATATTAAATATTAAATGAATGTTATCAGCCAATATATCATCGATGCAGTTACCCGGTCTAAATAACACGATTAATTGAAATTTTTGAGGTATAATTTACTT